ACTGCATAAGGCTTTGGGGGCACAACTAGACACAAACCATAACACTTGCAAAACTGAAACTCTTACCCATTAAAAAAAAAAATCTCAAGTTCCTCCTCGTCTTGTCTTGGAGCCCCCAACCTATTTTCTGTTTCTCTAAATCTAACCCTTTTGTGTCCGACTTGTTTCACTGAGAATTTTCTCCCTTAAGTCCGAGTAACATTCCATTGTGTACACATACCAGATTTGAGTTATCTACTTACCCATTAGTGGGCACTTGGGTCACTTCTACCTTTTGCCTATTATGCATAATGTTGCTATGAGTATAGTTGTGCAAGCATCTGCACAGATTCCTATTTTCAATCCTTTAGAGCATATATTCAAAAGTGAATTTTTAAATTTTATTTCTTTTTCAAAAGTGAACTTTTTAGTATTCAAAGTGGTTGGGGTAGATATATAGTTGCATTGTCTTAATGAATGGAATGATTTGTTCTAATGGTGTTTGTAAATAGGATCACAAGTCCGCATCTTGTACAGCAATTAACCACTAAGAAGAATATATGCAGTGTATTATTTGTTGAAACTGTACTTCCGATTTGATTTGAAACTGTCTCATTGCTATATGTTTATCAATAAAACTGTAGAAATAAAAAAAAAGTGAACTTTTTAGATCATATATCTTTGTTTAACTTTTTGAGGAAACTCCACACTATATGTCATGCTGGCTACACTATATTACATTCCCACCAACAGTGTACAAGTTTTCTTATTTCTTCACTCCATCCCTCTTTATTTTTTTTAATGTTTTCAACTAATTCATAGGTGTTTTCCAAAATACTATGCAGACACACAGTTCGGGGCAAGCTGCTTCACCTGCAACTGCCCTGTGCATGGAGCCTAAGAGCCACTGGCCTCTGGCAGGATGCATCCTGCTTAATCCTCATCAACAAATAATGAGTCTGGATGACAAACTTGCCAATGATGATGCCTGCATATCACAGGACTTGGGGTGGAAGCACCTTCTTGCCCTGCTCTTCATGGAGTGAAACAATAACCTTATACCATAAGCTCAAGTTCATTTTTCCTCTCAAACCACATTCGACAGGGACAATTTTTAAAAAATCAAAGGGAAATAAAAATGTTTGTGCTCCCAAGTCTAGCCTATGAATACCCAAAACTCTTAGTCAAACTTGCCTAAGAAAAACAAGTCTTCCTCTAAAGAAAAGTAGGACACTCCATCCTGCTGCCCTTTTGTGAATCTTGGCTGAATTTGGCCTCAGAGTCACAGAGGGAAAATGCTGCGACTTTTCTGGTTTCACTTCCTCTTTAATTTTATGACTAAACATCATATTTGTGACATTATCTATAGCCTTATAATCATAGAGCAGTGCTACATTGCATCATGGTTAAATATTTCTTATTTTGTTACCTGAGTAAAAATGTGTAAAATTTAGAAATAATATAAGAATATAGCAACATTCTGTTCCCTTTTTTACTTGTGTAAGCTAACCTGCCATGCAGGCAAGCTTCAGAGCCCGTAGAGGATATCGGTGTCTTGCTCTGCTTTCTGACACATCAGTCTTCACAAGAAACAACACCCCCTGTAACAGAGGACGGCTGGCTTTTCAGAGCCTTTTCGAGGGCGTGCTTGTAAACAGTTCCATTTAGAGAAGGTGATAGGAAGGACACCTGCTTTTCAAGTGCTGGGTTGTGGTTCCAAAAAGAGATGTCTAAATGTTTATCTCGTTCTGCCTTCATGAGATACTCTTAAAAAATTAGAGATACACTGAATAATGTCATCAATGATCATGGTTTTAACATACCAGATGGATTACATCACATAAATTCTGTATGATTTTGGAAAGATGAGGTTGCAGATATGACTGTCTTTCCTTATGTGAGGTGGTATTGATGGAGA